CCCAGTGGGGTGATGTGCAGGAGGCAGCTGATTGATGCTTCTCTCTCATCGATGTTTCTAATTCTCTATTCCTTTCCAAAAAATCAATAATAAAATATATATTTTTAAAAAACTGACATCAAGGAAAAATAAGGAATTCTCAAAAATCAACAGTTGAAAAAACAAAACACAAATAATCCAATTGGAAATTGGCAAACACACGCACGCACACACACACACATGCACACACATGCACACGCACACACGAAAAGACATTTCTTCAAAGAGAATTACAGATGGAAAATAAGCAAATGAACCCGGCTGGCGTGGCTCAGTGATTGAGTGTCAACCTATGAACCAGGAGGTCATGGTTCGATTCCCCATCAGGGCACATGCTCGGGTTTCTGGCTCGATCCCCAGTGGGGGTTGTGCAGGAGGCAACTGATCAGTTATTCTCTCTCAGCATTGATATTTCTCTCTCTCTCCTCCCTTCCTCTCTGAAATCAATATATATACATATATATATACATATATATTATTGATTTTTTACAGAGAGGAAAGGAGAGGGATAGAGAGATAGAAACATCAATGAGAGAGAAACACCGATCAGCTGCCTCCTGCACAACCCCACTGGGGATGTGCCCACAACCAAGGTACATGCCCTTGACCGGAATCGAACTCAGGACCCTTCGATCCGCAGGCCGACACTCTATCCACTCTAGCCAAACCGGTCAGGGATAAAAATATATTTTTTAAAAGAAAATAAGCACAAGAAAATTCTTCAAATTATTAGCTATCAGGGAAATGCAAATTAAAACCATAGTATTATTTCATTACACACCAAGATACCTAAAATTTTAAAATAGTGTTAGCAACCAAATGCAGGTGAAGATGTAAGCAATCTGGATCATTCATACACTGGTCATCCTCCTATATAATAAAATGCTAATATGCAAATTGACTAAACGGCAGAATGACCGGTCGCTATGATGCTCACTGACCACCAGGGGACAGAGGCTCAATGCAGGAGCTGCCCCCTGGTGGTCATGCATTTATATAATATTTTTATATAAAAATTTTTATAAAATTTCCATTCACCCCTGTGACTCTAGGAGAAAAGTGCAACTGAAATACCAGTTCTATGACCAGTTTGCACGTGTAGATGATTATACTGCCAGACTTTACAGTTAAGGAAGATTTCACAATAGGTTCAAAGAATATGGAGCATGTTCTTTTAAATAATTATAAACTTCAGAAGAAACAAAAGTTGTACAAGAAAGGAAATGTAATCAGCTGATCCTACTTGGCTCAGCAGTTATCACTATTGACGCAGCCATAGTGGTAATGATACACATTCTGAATTACGATGTAAATAGCAATTATTGTAAACTCAGTTGAAAGATTATACCTTATCTACAGGGTAGAACTAAATAATGTCAACCATTGGTATATAAACATATATCTGTTTATGTGCATTATCTAGAAATTGAGATGTCACTGGAAGAAACAGCTAAAATGCACTGAGTGGTTTCTCTAAACACTGGCTTTTTCTAGCCTCACAAGACTTTATTTGTATGTATTATTACTTACATAATTTTTAAATATATTTTCATTGATTTCAGAGAAGAAGGGAGAGAGATGAAAACATCAATGATGAGGGAGAATCATTGATCAGCTGCCTCCTGCACTCCCCCTAATGGGGTTCGAGCCCGGAACCCGAGCATGTGCCCTTGACCAGAATCAAACCCAGGACCCTTCAGTCCATAGGCCGACGCTCTATCCAATGTGCCAAACCAGCTAGGGCTCCATGATTCCTTTTTACCTCATGCCAATCATATACATTTGGAAGGAGAAGTCCTAGAAAATTTTGCAACTCAAAATCAGGAAGTCTTTACCTATCACAGGCTTATGCCGGGAGCCGGTCCATCCTTGCTGTTTCAAGGGACCTGGCATATATGGCATACTGTTCTTAATATATTTACTCACCTTCTTGGCACTATGTTTTAACCAAGGTCACCTCTCCGAGAAAGGTTGTTTCCCCAGGTAGAGATTTTCCCCTGAAGTTAGGGAGGGAATAAATCCCCTTCACTAACTGCCAGGCGGGTAATTAATCTTTTTAACTAGGAACAATCATGCTTAAGCTACATAATCTTTACTCCCTGGAATGGAGATAAGAAACGCCCTAACCTTTGGAATAGAGATTGATAGGATTGAATCAACTGTTAG